TATATATATATATATATATATGTCTAAGAGAAGGCAAACTCTGAGGAGCCAGAATGATCAACAAATTGATCGTGGGCACCTCAAATATAAGGAGAAGGATATATATATATATAAATCATTTGTTCGTTTTATTTCCGACTCAATTACATCAGTTACATTTTAAAACTGCGTTTTTTATTTTTAAAATTTCAACTTTAAATCAAGACGCAGCAAATCTTTTGCAGATTAAAATATAAGACTATGTCACATAACTTCAGCCCCTTGGGATGAGCAGAGGGCCCTTGGGACTTTGTGCGTAAGGTGCCATCTAAACATCAAACAATATATAATAAAAAAATCTAAATTTTTTTTTACATCTGTGAAGAGCAAATTTTGGGATACACTTGTCAGTAAAGGTGTGGAAGAAAAATAGCATCTATCTTTCTAAAAGCTGCACGTTGCTGACCGCTGGGTGAAGGAACTGTGGGAGATAATTCTCGGCTCAATGGTGTCAAAAATATTCACCCATAAAGTATTCAAACGTCGATCGCGTCAGCGGTTAAGGAATATTTTGGAATCGCCGTCTCCTAACAATGTTGTCACTGTTTTTTTTCGTACCCATTCTCGATTCAGCCGCAGTTACTCCGATGCGCAGGGGGACCTACAGGTACAGCAAGAACGAACGGGAGCGCGTTCCGATGTTTTACGGAGTCTTCAACACAGCCGAGTAAGTAATCATGCATGAATCATTGTGTTGTTGTTGTTGTTGTTTTTTTTTTTTTTAAACGAGAAACCGCGTGACAGTCAAGATTAAGGTGTGTCTCTTGAGGATAGGATAAGTGACGATAGGATAAGTGACGTGGAAAAAAGAAAAAAAAGAAAAAATTTCTCATTCTGTCAAGGGGTGAATGACTTTCTGAGGAGACATCAAACAACTTTCGCAGTCTTGTTTTCCCACTACTCTTTGTGTTAGATTTCAGGTTTTCTCCTAATCTCAGTGTTATATTTCAGGGTTTACATTACTCTGTGTGTTATATTAACATTTTAAACAACTCTTTGTTATAATTCATATTGAAAAAAAAAATGCCATTTTAAAAAAAAAATGAAAAAAAACTTTCAGACTCGAATAATTTACATTGTTTTAAAGTAGTCTGATCTTGTCATAAGTCCTCATTCATTATTCAGTCCACTGTGTTGTGCTGATTTTTCTTTAGTTGGCGATTTAGGACTTTCGGGCGCGGGGGGGGGGGGAGGGGGTGCGCTAGACACATAGATAAGACGGGACAGCGCTATAGGGGAGTGTTTTTTTTAGTGTGAGCGAATAGCCACTTTGTCAACTGTACAAATGACTGATCTTGTCATAAGTCCTCATTCATTATTCAGTCCACTGTGTTGTGCTGATTTTTCTTTAGTTGGCGATTTAGGACTTTCGGGCGCGGGGGGGGGGAGGGGGTGCGCTAGACACATAGATAAGACGGGACAGCGCTATACGGGAGTGTTTCTTTTAGTGTGAACGAATAGCCACTTTGTCAACTGTTCAAATGCATGGCGGTCATAATAGCTGCTTGCTCATGTCCAAATAACGCCGATATCTAACGCTTGTCTAGAACCCGGGCCGATGCGAAGGTGGCAGGAAGTACAAAATGTCTTTTTGTTGATTTTTTGGGGCGGGGCGAGTTTTTGTGTGTTAATTTTACAATCCTATCGGCTTAACTTCGCTTTTGTTCGTGGGTGGCTGGCTGAAAAAATATTCTGACGGCTAATTGACCCACTTTCAGATCTATAGATCTGAAACTTGGCATATAGACTCGTTGCCGATGACAACAAACATAATTATTTTTCAAATGTTCAGCCCCAACCACAAAAATCGTGTTTCTTCTTCTGGTTTTCAAGGGTAACATAGGGGAAAATTCCCAATAACTGCGCTAAATTAGATTTTAAAAGGTAAATCGCAAGTCCGTTTGATGCGTAATATTTTCTTTTTGTTTTCCTCAAACAGTTGGTGAAATGAATCTGCGGTGTAAAAGCGGGAAGTTTATTAGAATATTAATATAATTTAGGTGGATTGAAAAAATGTGCATTTGTGAGCCTTTGGAAAAGGTGGGGGGGGGCAATAAATTGGGGTTCTTATAAAACGGTTTACGTGTTTGCACGTTTTTTAAAATTTTTCCCCCCCCCCCCCCCCCCCCCCCCCCCCCCCCCCCCCCCCGCATTGCTCAACATCAAAAGTAAATGGTTAGAAATCAAATTCAGTTCACTGAACCTAAATTTCCACAAGCGTCTCTTTTGTTGTTCTCCAAATTAAGAGTCGATTGATGAAAAAAACTTAATTCAGATATGCGCCAAAATGCATTCCTGAATATTGAATTTAGACCCCGGTCTATGAATGAATTTTTTTTTTTGGTTAAATGATACCTTTCACAAATTCAGACATCACGTAAATTAACTCAACGCCATGTTCTCATGTAATAAGCAAAGCTACCTTACGGCGTTCAACTTAGGCACCAATGAACATTTCCATTAAACGTTCATGACCGAGCGGAAAATAATGAATTTGTTTGTTAGTGCATAGCTCAAAAAAGAAAAAGAGAATCTGGATCTCCGGAACTTAGGCATCTCCTATTGCCAGAAATGCTTTTCTTCCACCCTACACAATCTCAGGAACACGGCTGTTAAAAAAAACCAACCTTTCAGAAATTCTATATAATTACAGACATCTGACCACTTATGACACACAACATCCAACTACTTCAATACAGATAGAATTAATAAATATTGCCAGACAATGATAGAATACATTATATATGTGTTCGTACTAGACACAGCGGCGTAGCGAGGGTGTTTGGCGCCCGGGGACAAGATTCATTTTAAAGCACCTTTTTCTTTTTTTCAACTCTCAAACCCATTATTTTCATCAATAAAATAATATCAAAGCACATTTTGGCGCCCCTAAATAGCTGGCGCCCGGGGACATCTGTCCCCCCCTGCCCTCCCCTCACTACGCCTCTGACCAGACATCGTACTAGATAATATCTACAGGTGTTTTTTTTTTTTAATTTCCTTTCCGGAAGAGGGGTTCCTTATCATTACATCACAAGGTGGAGGTTCCTCATGAATCTTACATAGTGTGTAGGTTCCTCATGAATCTTACAAAGTGTGTAGGTTCCTCATGAATCTGACATAGTGTGGAGGTTCCTCATGAATCTTACATAGTGTGTAGGTTCCTCACGAATCTTACATAGTGTGTAGGTTCCTCACGAATCTTACATAGTGTGTAGGTTCCTCACGAATCTTACATAGTGTGTAGGTTCCTCATGAATCTTACATAGTGTGTAGGTTCCTCATTAATCTTACATAGTGTGTAGGTTCCTCATAAATCTTACATAGTGTGTAGGTTCCTCATGAATCTTACATAGTGTGTAGGTTCCTCGTGAATCTTACATAGTGTGTAGGTTCCTCACGAATCTTACATAGTGTGTTCCTCACGAATCTTACATAGTGTGTAGGTTCCTCATGAATCTTACATAGTGTGTACGCTCCTCATTAATCTGACATAATGTATAGGTTCCTCGTCAATTGAACAATGGGGGAGTGTCCTCATCAGCAGAAAAAAGGTGGTACGTTTGGACATTTGATTTAGGGTCCTCACCAATCGGACATACGATGTAGGGTCCTAATCAATGGGACGAAATGGCGATGAGTTCCCGATCCCTTATACATGGGGGGGGGGGTGGTAGTGTAGGGTTATTATTCTGACATGGGTCGGTTCCTCGACATCGGACATAGGGTATTGGTTCCTCGTCAATCGGTCATAGAGGGGAGGCAGGTTCCTGATCAATCGGACCTAGGCTGCCAGAACATCGACTCTCCCCCCCCACCCCCCCCCACATCTTCATGAATTTACTTTTGTTCTCTTTGTTTCCCCACAGCAACGGCTTTGGGGGGTCAGCGGTGTGTGCCTACAGCTATTCTGACGTTGGGGCCTCTTTCGATTCCCGCTTCCAGGGACAACTGTCCTTCTTACATAAATGGATGCCAGTAAACCCAACACCGCTCCCACACCCTGGTCAGGTACAGTATGCACAAGGGTAACTCCCCGATGACGCGCCCAGCGATTAGGCGCGCACGGCTTAACTTGGTCATTGCACGACATATACAATTTCATTTATTCATTTCAACCTGATTGCCCCCCCCCACACACACTTTTTCAGTAGGTGAAGAAGACTTTTGAAAAATATATATATATTAACATCATTTTGGGGATGAGAATCGTTATGCACAAGGGTAACTCCCCGATGCCGCGCCCAGCGATTAGGCGCGCACGGCTTAACTTGGTCATTGCACGACATATACAATTTCATTTATTCATTTCAACCTGATTGCCCCCCCCCCCCACACACTTTTTCAGTAGGTGAAGAAGACTTTTGAAAAATATATATATATTAACATCATTTTGGGGATGAGAATCGTTCATACTGCAAGCACCAAAAGTAACCATGCTGAAACTATCGCACCGTTAACGCATGCGTGCGTTTGTCAACGATGAAAAACTTGAAAAAAAAAGGGGCGCCAGAACGATTCCGTGACATATTTAATAAAACGGCGCCATGTACAAACAAACAAAAAGTGTTCTTGCTGTCTAGTGTTAGGAAATGCCACCGCCATTCTGACAGTGTGCCGTTTCAACGGAAGGGTTACGTGTAACTGTTTAGACCGGTGTTACGTGTAACACCGTAACTGTTAAGACCGGTGTTTACAAACGTGGGGCCCACGCCATAGGACGGGGGGGGGGGCAATTTTATTGTTTAAGGGGTGGCGGGAAAAAAATTGGAAAATGAGCTGTCTTGAATTTGAAAACCCACCGTCTACTGTGATTCAACTTTTATTTTGACAAAAAGAGCAACATTAACGTCTCTATTTAGTGGTCATTCTGCAACAGGCAAGCGTAACACTAGAGGCTAGTTATGAAATTTCCCAACTCTTCGCTCAACCTGGGAAAAAATCATACTGTAGGAGAGAATTTCATCAAACCAGTTCTGGAAAAAGATGGCAAAGACGTGAAAGCGACGTCACTCAGTAACAATACTGTTAGCAGAAGAATAGACGAGATGATTGAAGATATGAATATACACCTTGTTGAAAAGCTGAAAACAAAAACATTCTCAGTGCAAATGGATGAATCAACTTTGAGAGTCAATGAGGCGGTATTGATAGCTTTTGTAAGATATAATGATAAATATATTGATATTGATATTTGATGAAGAAATTTTCTTTAAATCATTAGAAAGCACCATTACTGCCAAAGATGTGTATATATTAAGCTAAAAAAAATTGCTTAGATGTTAATAATATACGAATGAAAAATATAACATCTTGTGCTGCAGATGGTGCGCCTAATATGATGGGCAAGAAAAATGACTGCTTAAAATTTATGAAAGATTAGAATCCAGAAATGCTACTCGTGCAATGTGTTATTCAAAGCGAAAACCTAGGAGCTAAAAAGAAAAATTCGCCTGTTCTAAATGAAGAACTAAATTCAGTTATAAAGTGTACAAATGCTGTTAAAGTTAATGCCCAATGTGAACGTTTCTTCGAGCTGTTTTGTGAAGAACAAAATGTAGACTGTGTGACCCTTTTACATCGCACTGAAATTAAGATAGCTTCCGTAAGGTAATAGCATGAAAAGATTTATGGAACTATTTGATACTCTTGTGATTTTTTTAAATAAAAAAAGTCATATGAAGTATCTGTTAACGGTCGATGGTAAAGCATTTGTGAGTTATTTAGCCCATATCTTTAAAAAAACAACTAAATATATTAAATAGCCAACTTTAAGGAACAAATGAAACTCTTGTCGATGCAAAAGCGAAGATAAAAAAAACTAAATATATTAAATAGGCAAACTTTAAGGAACAAATGAAACTCTTGTCGATGCAAAAGCGAAGATATTCATTACCATTACTGAATTATGTCAGAAAAATATTTACAACAAAAATTTTGAAGAATGCCATTGGCTCATAAACTGTGATGTGCTTGATACCGCTATACTTTTTATTGTCGATCATCTGAAATTCCTGTCGGTTAATTTAAAAGAAAGATTTTATTATTTGAAACAAAATAATTTTCCAACTTGGATAATGCAGCCAATGTTCTTTGATTTGTTTGGTGTTTCCAAAATGCATTTCTAGGAAAAAGTCCAAGAAATGCAAAATGATGAGTCAGTTAAAACAATAATCAATCTAAAAGGAGCGATGGCATGGTTTTGTGAGGAAACAGAAATAAAAAATTGAAATTCAACCAAATGTGCAAGAAAGGTATTTTTACCGTTTCCATCTTCATATTTAGCTGAATGTGGATTTAGTGCCAAAAATGGCACACACAAAAAAAAAAAGGTTGGGATACACTGGTTGAGACACGCACGAGAATCACGAAAGTGCTCTGCAGCAGATTCTACATTTGCCGGTACGAAGTTTACAACAGATCTGTTTGAAACTGATCATAAGCGATACGACTGTTCGCCGTTTACCTAAGGACATAGTTTCACCTTCGTACAGGTTACAGGTTGGACAACGTTTGACAGAGCCAGATACATGAGCCAGATATGTGAGCCTGATATGTGAGCCTGATATGCGAGCCGGATATGTGAGCCGGATAAGCGAGCTGGATATGTGAGCCAGATATGCGAGCCGGATATGTGAGCCGGATACGTGAGCCGGATATGTGAGCCGGATATGTGAGCCGGATATGCGAGCCGGATATGTGAGCCGGATAAGCGAGCCGGATATGTGAGCCAGATATGTGAGCCGGATATGCGAGCCAGATATGCGAGCCGGATATGTGAGCCAACGTGAGCCGGATATGAGAGCCGGATAGGTGAGCCGGATATGCGAGCCGGATATGTGAGCCGGATAAGCGAGCCGGATATGTGAGCCAGATATGTGAGCCAGATATGCGAGCCAGATATGCGAGCCGGATATGTGAGCCGGATATGTGAGCCGGATATGTGAGCCGGATATGTGAGCCGGATATGTGAGCCGGATATGCGAGCCGGATATGTGAGCCGGATAAGCGAGCTGGATATGTGAGCCAGATATGCGAGCCGGATATGTGAGCCGGATATGTGAGCCGGATATGCGAGCCGGATATGTGAGCCGGATATGTGAGCTGGATATGCGAGCCAGAAATGTGAGCCAGAAATGTGAGCCAGATATGCGAGCAAGATATGTGAGCCAGATCTGTGAGCCATATGTGAGCCAGACATGCAAGCCGGATATTTGACCAGATATGTGAGCCATGTCGGACTAACACAATTATTTAACGAAACAAGAAGGGTGACTACCAAAATTTGCAAAAAGAAAAAAATGTGTTTGGGCAAAATAAAAAATAGTAGAGATAGAAGAGATGGCAAATGAAAGAGAGGGATATACCGGAAGATAAAGTAGGAAAAGAAATGCTTTCAAGAAAGATCCCAAATATGTGAAAATATGGGTGGAGAATTGATCACAGAGAGCAGTAGAGTACTAGAGAGATGGGCACAACACTTTGAAGGCTTACTGAATGGCTCAGGTGGAGGAACTAATGAGGATTACGCTCTACCACAAGGAGGACCGGAGCCACTGGTCTACCAACCAACGTTAAACGACATAAAAGATGTGATCTTCACCATGAAAAATATAAAAAGCCCCAGGAATAGACCTTATCACTGCAGAACTGATACAGCTAGGTGGCGACAAACTGCATAGGCAAAGTCACGACCTCATATGCAGAATCTGGCAGGAGGAAGAAATACCAATAGAATGGGACACTGCCCTCATGATCCTAATTCACAAAAAAAAAGGATCTAGGCTGATCTGCTCAAACTATGAATGAAATAGCAAAACGAGCTATGTGGAAGCTTGAATTAGAGAACAGGACAAAGAACAAGGACGTTTCGGCATAAGGCCTTCTTCAGCTAACAGTAGAAATGAAAATATAACAAAGAACAGAGCACAGTAAATCTAAGCAAGGCGACACCAATGGACACGTTTACTTGTGTATTATGTATAATTATTATTAAGGCTTAACTTATATTGTTATATTGACACAAATTGTTCGTGTCTTATTATTCTTTTTTATAGCTTTATCGCAGTCCAACACTTTTTATAATTAGTTAATCAATGTAAATTAACCAGCCGGCGATGTGTATGTTACCTTCTATCGGAAAAAAGAAATGATAGATGACAACAAGGACGTACTGCGTGTCCTTTCCTTTCAGTATTGTGTCTTTTGGCACGTCCTGTAAATATGAATATAAATTATCGTGGCGTGGTTTCTGAAATCAGTTGCAAGTAGATATCCGCTTGATCAGATTTTACCTTAATGTTTCATTGAACCAAGTGCTTATCAGGTAAACTGATATACTTGTCAAGTTGGGAGATAAGCTGGTCTATTTGGGTGATGAGCTGGTCTAGTTGGGGGATGAGCTGGTGTAGGTGGGTATTGTGCAAGTCTAGTTGGGGGTGAGCTGGTCTAGTTGGTGGATGAGCTGGTGTAGGTGGGTATTGTGCAAGTCTAGTTGGGGGTGAGCTGGTGTAGGTGGGTATTGTGCAAGTCTAGTTGGGGGATGAGCTGGTCTAGTTGGGGGATGAGCTGGTCTCTTTGGGTGATATACTTGTCAAGTTGGGTGATAAGCTGGTCTATTTGGGGGATGAGCTGGTCTAGTTGGGTGATAAGCTGGTCTAGTTGGGGGATGAGCTGGTCTAGTTGGGGGATGAGCTGGTCTAGTTGGGGGATGAGCTGGTCTAGTTGGGGGATGAGCTGGTCTAGTTGGGGGATGAGCTGGTGTAGGTGGGTATTGTGCAAGTCTAGTTGGGGGATGAGCTGGTCTATTTGGGGGATGAGCTGGTGTAGGTGGGTATTGTGCAAGTCTAGTTGGGGGATGAGCTGGTCTAGTTGGGTGATAAGCTAGTCTCTTTGGGTGATATACTTGTCAAGTTGGGTGATAAGCTGGTCTATTTGGGGGATGAGCTGGTGTAGGTGGGTATTGTGCAAGTCTAGTTTTGGGATGAGCTGGTCTAGTTGGGTGATAAGCTAGTCTCTTTGGGTGATATACTTGTCAAGTTGGGTGATAAGCTGGTCTATTTGGGGGATGAGCTGGTGTAGTTGGGTATTGTGCAAGTCTAGTTGGGGGATGAGCTGGTCTAGTTGGGTGATAAGCTAGTCTCTTTGGGTGATATACTGGTCAAGTTGGGTGATATACTGGTCTAGTTAGATGATAAGCTGATCTAGGTGGGTGATATGTTAGTCTAGTTGGGTGATATGCTGATGTAGTTGGGTAATAAACGTGTCTAGCTGGGTGATATGCTGTTGTAGGTGGGTATTGTGCAAGTCTAGGTTGGTGATATGCTGGTCTTATGGAGTGATAAGCTGGTCTAGTTGGCTGATATGATGGTCTTGGTGGGTGATGTTCTGGTCACGTTTGGTGGCGTGCTGGTCATATTGGTTTATTTGGGTGGTCATTGTTGGTCGTAGTGTGGATAATATATTGACAGAGGCGGACGATAGCTGGTCAGTGTGGATAACATAAGGACCAAGGTTAATGGATGCGGTGGTGGAGAGTGCTGGTTTGTTTGTCACGATGGGTGACATGCTGCTTCAAGGTGTGGTTGTCCGTGACACGTTATTTTATACTATGCAAAACCTGATGCTACGACTACAGCAACACCAACCCTTCATTTTTTTCCCCTCCATAATCAGTGCTCTAGTACAAACACAACTCCTAATGCCGAGATAGTGAAGTTCATAAAGGAACATTCTTTGATGGATGAAAACGTCGAGGCTCTGGGAAAATTCCCCGTGTTCATTCTTCAAGGCCTCAGGTGAGCCTTTCTATTTCAAATGATTGATCATCAACATGCGTTATGCATAAGGGTGTGAGTGTCTTAGAGGTGAAGTAGGTGAAACATTTGTCCACTAAACGGTTTTGCAAGATCATATTTAAATGAGTTGTTTTTTTTGTTTTTTTAAATCATAATTGTTAAAATATTTTTGTTTGGGAATTTACCTTGTAATATCATCAAAATGCCTAATTCTCTATGTAACAAAGTCACTCACGCTACCAGATGGCGCTGATTTTTACTAAATAAAATTCCCGATAACTGAGCTAAATGAGATTTTTTTTTAAAAAATACAGCATGTGTGTTTGGTGCGTAATATTTTGTTTAAAGGAAAT